CAGGTTTAGAGATTAAGAAGGACCTAGAAAGTTTTCTAATAAAAATCAAAGCAAATATTTAAGTCTCCCAGATCTGGAATACGAAGAAGTGAGCAGCTGCAAGCTGACTCCACCTGCACTCTATGATAGCAAGGTGTAAGGCATAACAGATGTAAAGGCCAGACACATTCGTGCTCATCTTGTCTACGCTAGTAAATGCTGCTCAGACAGGCCCCCCAAAATATCAGGTACAGATAGACAAGTGAAAAAAAAAGATAAGAAATAATACAAAGTACATCAAAGTAGATATAACAAACAAGACCAAAATAAGCAAAACCAAGTGAGACTTGGATGTATTGTTTTTTCTTTGGACTATAGAAGAAACAGAAAGGAAGGAAACGGAAGTTCTCCAAAACAAACAGAAGAGGGATTTCTTGTATATAGCTGAAAAAAGAAAATAATCTCCACCCACTAACAATTTATGAGTTCTCCAAATTCTCCAAGTAAAAGGAGAGGTGTTAAGAAATAAGAAAGCACAAAATGTATTAGGAGGATGTATTTGCTGAAGGATTTTCTTTTATCAGAACTAATTTACTCGACTAAATAGGATTAAAACCATCAAGAATTTAGAAAAGACTGACTAGGTTCCACTAAGGATTATTCTGCCAAGTTGCAACTTTTCATACAATGCTTCAAAAAAAAGCTGTAGATACAAGCTTCAATTTGATGTGCCTCCTTCCAGCTTCTCACTGGATTAACTCTCTAATACAAAGTGTGATGGGAATCACTTGCTGGTACCCAGAAAGTGAGTAACCTTTCCAGAAAAGTAAAAATAGTTTCCCCTGACAAGAAAATTAAGTTGACTTTCAAGGTCACAATAATTTTAGTAGCCCAGAAAGCCATCTGAAATAAGCAATACTGTGTTTATTACAACACTAACACAGAGGGAGAAAGTTCACAGCTCTCATTCACCATTTGCAATCAAACTGGAAAGCTTTTTCTTCTTTTCAAAAATACATAAACTTTTGTATTAATTATATATTATATACATATTATAATTATATAATGTAAAAATACATATAAACAAAACTTATCATTGAAGGCTTCAGACATAGAAAAGCACCGATTTGAGCATCAGAAGGAAGGTATCAGTAATCAAGACAGTTTAAAACATTCAGCACAGCACAAGCCAGAGAATTCAGTAATTGTATTCCCTTGACTAGATAAATTTAAGCATATAACAATTCATAAAATATAGCTGCTTACGTTCAATTAGGCTTAATATTAATAAAAAAGACTTCCTTGAAGATTCTCAAATGAGACTTGAATTTAAATAGTAGCTAGTTAGTATTTCACAGATAAGAACCTCAATATACTTTTCTTCAGAAGATAATTAGCATGTTAATAATCTTTAGTCTCTAAAATATATTTAAAAAAGTATCAACCTTTTCCACTATGATGAGGTCTCCAACTTGTATGTCTGAACTCTTAACTTGCACTTTACCTTAAAAAGAAGAAGAAATGTAATCAACTTAGGCAGACATTAATAAAGAGTCACAAGAACATAAATCCCAGAATTCAAGTTATACTTAAAGACGTTATTGTTTGGCGAAAATGTTACAAATTATATAAAATAATAGATTTCATCTGTTTGAATAAATAATTCACTGGTTAAAAAAAGTCTAGTTTTGTAACCAGACAGCTGCTGTAGAAGTATTAGAGGAAAAAAATGTATGGAAGATGTTCAAGTCTTATCTATATCAGTAATCGAGTTGCAAAATTGGAAAAAGTCTTTCACATACTACTAGCAGACATTTCTACTTCTGACAAGTCAAGAGTTGTTAGGTTTAGAGTCATGGAGCATTCTCACACATATGGTTAGTCACAGCCCAGTTACCAACAGGTAGCTTTGCTTGGCCACTAAAGTTACTGTGTAATTGGTACTGTCTGAAGCTTGTTGGCAATTCTAGTGAAAAGAGGTAAGTTTCTTTAAAGTCAGAAGAAATGCCTGAAGATTTCATTTTAAATAAGTAAAATATAAGCTGAAATAGAGGATTTTCATTCTCTAGAGCTGCCCATTCAGTAACTGCTGTGAACAACTCATTCAAAAATATACACAGCACATGTACCAATTTAATTTCTGTATGTTCTGTAGGGTATTAATACTTGTAAGACTGTTAAATTTTAACATTATTATGTGATGGACTGAAAAACTGAGACAGAGAGGTTAAGCCCAAAATGAGTTATTATTTATGTTATCCAAATTCAGGAGTTCTAGTCCCAGGGTTCTTGTGACAAATCCAGAAAGAGTTGCTTCCCTGAGGTAAAATCAACCAACAAAACAACCAAAACTCCACCCCAAACCCTTGAAGACAAACAAGTCATGACATACAGATATCCTCTTCCAAGATAAAACAGGTGATAAATTCAGAACCTGTTAACTCAGGATACAAACACATGCATATTTACACAGCCTGACGAGCTGAAATACACACCTATACAAAATATCTTTTCCCATCAGAAACGCTATAATGATTCCAAGCAGCAGGTATCTGATCAGCAGGTATCAGATGACAAGTATGTCAAAACATGGTAAGGAGCTAGGGTTCTAAATAAAAGTCAAGACTGAACAAATTAGAAGACCTGTAAAAGCACAGAATGAGCAGTAATTGGTTTGGAATTTAATTGAAAGTATTATGAACGGTAGATTTGTCAGTGCGCATTATATCATCTCTCAAGGTTCTACTAAGCAGAAAACAAAATCAAAGCTACATTCCAAATCTATGAGACCTCATAACTCTCAGTGAAGAGAGATCAGTTAGTTAACCTCAAAAAATTCCTTATGCTTACATATGCATTTACAGAAAGGTAGTAGGATTCATGTTGTGAACGATTATTTTCAGTACTTGCTCTTTCAAATTGCATTTCATGCAATAGTAACAGCTGCTTTATGTTTAATTCAGTCAATAATAAACGTATTTCTATAGCTAATTTTTAATATATTTTCCATTACATTAGCACTTCTAAAAATGTGCAATGTCAGAAGAGAAACTGAACTTCTATTTGTCTTGTCTGCAAGCTATTTCTGAGAGCCACTTTTTGTTATTGATAATGATGTTTTACTCCAGTTGAATTTTTCAGTTGCCAAAACACCTCTGTCCCCACCCTCAAACAAATTCTATCTTCAGTCCGACTCCTAACACTGCCATAACAGATCTGTAGAGGTGAAGGGAGTAGCACAAGACCACGGTATCAAAAGCTATAGCAAGAAACACAATTTCTCTACAGGCATTTCAAGATACTAACGGAAATTTAGTAAGAACTCCTCAACATGTTTAGCCTGCTTAACTGCAGGAGCCTGTGAATCCTCTTTACAAATTCCTAAGTTTTGACTGGAAGTGAATAGCATATACCAGAAAAACATAGTAATGCTTACTTTGCTTTTTAAGTCTGTTAGCTTTACTAAAAGGATAGCATTTCCTATTTTTTTTTTAATTTCTCTGCTAATAATTTTCATAAGTTTATCAGTGTGATAATCATGTCAATCAACTGATTACAGTAATAAAAGCCACAAAAATCCTAGTTCCAGCTGCGTTGTCTCAGAGCTCTGCCACCTACACAGTCATGTGTGACCAAAATCATTCAGAGATACTAATCAAATGCAATTACTAGCAATTTTATCAACTTAAACAATTGCATTTTCCACAGTTGTGTTCTTACAGCATCATACAGTAAAGACCAAAAGACACTAAGCCTTAGAGGACAAGAGAAGGTATAACACTCATTTGGAACATGATACAGGGCAGACAAAAAGCAAAGACTCCTGGTGCCAAGTATACCTACAGGAACTCACCACCTTCGCTTCTACTCAGTCTAGCAATCCTGGGAATTTCATGTTGTAAATTGAGAAGTTTCCTTATTAAACTGTTTTCTAGGTGGCTTAGTATAACCCTACAGAATACCATCTCTATTACATGCTAATGTGTCTTTTTAAAGCACCCTGTGTATCTCTGCACTTAAAGAAGTGGCCTGTGACATACAAGACAATTATTCTACAATGAATCTGAATGGCAAGATATATTCCATCAAAAACTAAATGGTAAAAACATGGCAGTAATTCAAGAAGTGGGTTAAAATTTTGTAAAATTTTAGCCTAGCAAAAATAAGACTCTTTAGATGCCATCTAAGAGAACATTAAAATAATGCAATACTACATCTTCATGAAGATGCATTTAGAGAAGGAAAAAAAGAAAAAGACACTGAATGTTATTCACTGCATAAATTATTTTTGCAAACTATTTTTTCTCTGAAAACATCTCCATAGCAAAACACTCCTCACCATCTGTGTAATTACCAATAAAAAGTCCAAAACTGTCAGAAGTGCCTGCGCATCCAGACTTTATAGTCCACCAAGGCGCAAGGCTTTTGCCTAAAGCAGCGTACAGAATTATGCAGAACTGGAACACTGAAATGTGCCTGTAGTAATTCATTTTACTTCCAACATAAAACCTTATGAAATGAACTGCAATAATTAGAAAAACTAGTATCTCATATGTGCTAAGAACTATTTCATACTTAAATGAAAAAGAAAATGTGGGTATATACTATATCAGAAATAACTTTTTATTAACTTTCATAATTCATTAATTGTTCGTTAATTTTATTAATTAGCAATCAAATTATTTTTATTAATAAGTGTCTGATTGCAAGCCACTCCTGAAAGAATAGTGACTTCTAAGAGTAGCATTTTCAAATTCTTTTTAATTTGCTATTACATCCATGGTACCTTTAGTACTGTCTGAAGTTCTGCTCCTGGAATTGGTAACAGAGCTTCTCTCTAACGTAGAAATACAAAACTCTTGAATGAAAGGAGTCAAGTATAGTCCATATGAAAGTCAAGTATAGACCATATGAAGGTTTCACATGGTATCTATTAGCTTGAGTTGTCAGCATAATTAGAGTATACACAATATAATGGGGAGCTGGGTGCAGGGGGGAGCTTAAAGCTACAGTGAGTCCAAGGTGAGGATGCTGATCTTTCAGTGCCAAGCGGTGTCCTTGGGTCCTTCTTTCAAACTCCATGTTACATAGAGAACTGAGGTTGCTCTTTAATCACCAATATGAAACTCTACAGAGAGGCTTCCTAGCCCCTTCTCTGTGTACTGTCTCCTCTTCAGTGAAATGGAAAGCCTTCGTTCTTTGTTATTCAGTCTCCTGGATGCTGAAAAATGTGGAACAGTCTACTTGACACTTCCTCTCTTCTGGCTTCTAAAATTCTATCTTACATTAAAATTTCAAGTTCTGTTTCTGCTGTTGCTTACTGTTTCTCTAAACAATTAATACAATTCTTTAAAAATTTATCTGTTCCAAATGGTCTGAAAACCAGGAACAAAGTCGTTGGGTGGTTTGAAATACTGCAACCAATAAAGACCTGATGTTGTATCTTTAGATTCAGAAATAATGTTTTTTTAATGTAATAGCTTTTTAAAAAGCAAAGGATGACCTGTTCTTGAGGACCTGAAATGTTGTAAGAGGTTTCAATACAGATTACAAATAACTGCAGAAGAATAATACTACAATAATCAAGAAACTGACAAAAATCTTATTTTAAAGTTGCAGATAACAGTTATAAATGACAGAAAACTGCCTCGTGACAGAGACAATTTTGTAATTAAAAAAAAAAAGTCAACTGAGAACAGAGCAGTTCCCACTGCATAAACAAATTCAAAAGTTTAAAAAAAAAAAAAAAAAATCCCTCTAGCTCTCCAAGACAGACTTCAACTCTCCGATTTTAAAGGAAACATACTAGCCTTCACACTTTGTTCTCTTCTTATGTATAGCACTTACTGATATCTTCTCAATTTCACACAGTTTTGGCATGTATTTTCAACTTCATTACATTCTTAAGCACTCTTAAGATGTAAGTCTTAAGACTTATTCCACATTTGAAGCCTGGATAGGATTGTTTTATTAATCTCATCTCTCCTGACTTTAATTATTTCTTTGCTTTACAGGTTGCAAAGAGCGAGAGTTCTGCAACACTTCCAAAACTCTTGTTAAACATCCTGCGATGAAGTGACAGACACATACCTCTTCTGCAACTCGCATTTTTGACTATTATAGTTGGTTGGTCTCTTCTTGATCTTTTTTCTTCAAAACTTCACTAACACTGCATGGGTAAACCTAACTAGGAAAGGTTCAGGGCAGGACTGCCAACTTAAAGAATTGGAAGGGAAAAAGAGTTAAAATTGTTTTACAATTTTATTACCCAATCAGCTTCTGGCAGCTTAATGAAAAATGTAACAAACTGTTTATGAACCTGAGATGATCTTCTGCAGCATTTTTTCATAGGCACTTAATTGATCATACTTAAGTGCACTAGACAAGAATCTGCGCCAAAAGTATAGTAGAGCCTTAGGAAAGAAAAACAGAAGTCCTCCCAAACCTGCACACACAGATTTCAAACTTTTCCATCCCAGCTTCTGCTCTACAAAAGGATATGCAGGTGAACTGCTCTGAAGCAGAAAAGGGCAATTAAATGGACAGGATAATTTCAATTCTACAGGCAAACACTCTTCCTTTAAAACTTTAATTGGCATACTGTCTGAAAACAGTCTATTAAGGATTTCGAGACTTCAATATGCAAAAAAGGAGAGTAGATTTTGCAACACAAACACCTCAATAAAAAGATTTAAGACAGAAGAATGCATCATACACTTAGATTCAACACCATAATCTATGAAGCTATAAAAGGGAAAAGAATCACATGAAAGACAGACAGGTACACTTAATGGACTTGCTCAAAAAAAATTCAATACATTTCCTGATTTGCATGTTTTATCACTTGCCACAAAGGGTTGAAAAAGTAGAAACCATTCAAACTGCATACGTAGCAGGTTCACCGTTTTGACAAATGCAGTTACACCTAACAAATTCACTAACGGATAACTGAAGACTGAGCTTTCCCACGGATCAAACAGTCTGTGGACATGAAACTGGCCATTGCTGCCTAAGTACAATTAAGTAACACTTAAAAACAGATGTCCCATTCTCCCTTGGTTTCCTTGCTCAGAGCAGCTCATTATCCGAAAAATAAAATTAAAAAAAAAATAAAAATTAAAAAAAAATGCTAAGACTTGCTGATTATAACAAATACTTATTCAAGGTCTTGAATTACTAAAATATAAATTCTAAGTCTTCAAGAGTCACTGATGTAAATCCTCCATCTTCAAGAAGCTGGTACTTCTTTCACTACCAAAATGCAGGTCATAAGACAGCATTCATGTTTTACCCATTTAGGGATTCCTGAGGCTAAGAATGACGCTGCAGAAAATCAACACTGCTAGGTAGCCAAAGACTTCCTGGTTTTAATCTATTGCAACACTGTATAAAAAGATTTTAAGTTAGAAATCAACCTACCACACTATCTTTACACAAGTAATTAATTCAGAACCCAGTAGCTTCTCTTGCTATGAATACATGTATTCCCCTATATTAAACAAAACATTTCGCAAAACAGTTAACTAGAAATCATTAAATTCTCATTTTTATCTTCCATAAATGGTACTATTAAACCAAGGGTAACACTGAACATTGCTAATGTTACGTTTTCGTACTGTCCAATTTGAGCAAAATCACACTGCTTAACCTCTCTATGTCGGTTTCTCCATCTTTGAGATGGGAAAAAAATACCTATTTCAAGGAAAAGACTAAAATCAACACAAGTCACAAAATCACTAGGGGGAAAAAAAACGATGCTAGAGTAGTATAAAGTGCAGTTCCACTCTGAAAAGTGACTCTTAAGAGTGGCATCGATTTTCAGGCTTTTAATTAAATCAGTATCAAGTTTGTTCCTTCACAAGTAACAAAGCCTTCTTTCTCCAACCATTAGCCTGTAGGTTAGTACAGTAAGCCTAACTGAATTTTTCCACTTGAAGAGTACTGCCAATATTAAAAAAATTGGGTGGATTATAATGAAAGTTATCTATAAAAATAGTTTATAGGAATGTGGTATTTGACTTTATTAATTCACGCAAACACCTAAATCCTTCTCAAAGCCTGTAAAAAACTTGGTCTGATTTTATTTTTTATCACGATTTTATGATTAATTTTATTCTTTTATGATGGTTATTTTTTGTCATGATTTTTATGATTTTATCACAGCAGGCAGTCCCATTTTTTGCCTCATAATAATGCCTTTTGGTTTTAGAATGCCTTAATATGAAAGAACCATGTATTATGAAAAAGGTGCATAGAATCATAGGATAGTTAGGGTTGGAAAGGACCTTAAGATCATCTAGTTCCAACCCCCCTGCCATGAGCAGAGACACCACACACTAAACTATGTCACCCAAGGCTCTGTCCAGCCTGGCCCTGAACACCTCCAGGATTGGAGCATTCACAACTTCCTTGGGCAACCTATTCCAGTGCCTCACCACCCTCACTGTGAAGAACTTCTTCCTTATATCTAACCTAAAG